AGCAGGACGCTGAATCATTAACAAGAGGAAGCCAATGTAGAAATATCTTAAGATGCAGTATCGCAATTAGCTGCTTAATGCTGGCTCTAGAGATTTTCTGTGCTGACGTACATTCCCAGACGTTAGGGCTTCAATAATGAATTTAACTTCTTCTCCTCGTGTTTTTGTGGTAGTTTAGCACCAAGATTCAAAATGTGTGTGTGTGTGTGTGTGTGTATGAGAGGAGTGTTTTCTACAGATTATCTTCTACCTTCAGAGCTGCAGTTCACTCACTCACTGTGCTGCGTTTACCTTTGTTACATAATGAATGTTCACGAAGGACAGTTTAATTGAGGCAAATAAAGTGTGACACAGAAGATTCATGACATTTCCTAATGCTGGATGTCTCAAGATTTATAGGTTTCTTGTTAACCTGCTTCCCTCTGTTCATTTATACTGATTTATTTCGTGGGATGGGTGTGTAAGGCTAATATTTTTACACTCTGAGACTCATGCTATCCAGAGTCACCAATACTCACTCTCATTCTCTCCTTTCTCTCTGCAGCTGCGTCCTGTCCCCTCAGGGTTTTGAAATATAACACTATCACCATTTATTACAATCTTCTCCCTCTCTGTCTTTCTCTCTTCTCCGCTCTATCCAAACTGTTGTGCGGTCGCCTTCTCTCTCTCCAGCCTAACTCCGCTCTTTGCATCGCTTAAAGTCTCCCTCCTGTGTGTTAAATCGCATTGAGGGTGGAGGGAACAAAAAAGACATTTGCAGGGCGGGGTTGTGGCCAGTGGCCTTTATACAGGACATCAAGTTCATCCAGCCACACACAAGAAGCAAATTCCTCCTTTGTCTATGAGAAGTGAGTTGTGATTTTATGCTGAAAACGCAAAAAAAAAAAGAAGAAGAAGAAAAAAGTTTTAGCAGTTTCATCACATCTCTTTTAAAGCCGGGGTAGGCATTCATTTTTAATGAGCAGATATTGCATAATCACCTTTCAGCATAGTGTAATTCAAGTGGCCTGAGAGCGAACAAGACATCTGCACCTCCTCTTGGTTCTGTTTTCAGGCTTTAGAAAACCTAGTCCGCCACAGGAGACTTCAGCCAATCACAGGTCTTTTCACAGAGAGAGACAGAGTTCCTATTGGCTGTTCTACAAAATGAAGATGCGTGTGCACGTCACGTCAGATAAATATGAGTCATTATCGGTGAAGCGTTACAGGCTAACTTAATCTTCCTCTAACATCGACATGTGTTGTGGTGGTTGGTTGTGCAGGTATGTACCGTGAAAGCAGGAGATGAGTGGCTGTGTTGAATGTCGCTAATAGTTCAGTATCACTTTGCATTACCTGCCTTGTTATTTACCAGTAATGTATAAACATTTCATCCACCACCAGGTACTAGACACACCAAGCCTCAAATTAGCATGAGTGATGTTGAATCAAAGACACTCTGAGTTTATATCGCGGGCATAACGCAGAGCAGATGGAGTGAACCAGCTGTGGAGCATCTTGTCTCGTGTGTGCACTGATCACAGTTCGCTGTCAGTTATCAAACTTTTTGTTTCTGTAGTGGAAGGTCGTTACTCCTGTTATAGGATTACCCTGTGAGACTATCTGAATATAGTTTAGTTTGTAGTTTTTGTTATAATTGAATGAAATAACAATAATACAATCAAGGTAATTTTCACCACTGTCATATCAGTTGTTCAGTGGTTGTAGATGGGCTAATATCCTGCAAAGTTGTTTGTCATAATGAGAGTAAAAAGATCATCACAAAATCTACGAGTAAAAGTGGAACCTTGAAATCAAAATTACCTTGTCACCCACTCATGACCATGAATTTGAACATACTATCACAAAGAAGTTTAATTGTGGTACAGAAGTTGGTGTTAGTAAAGGAAAGATCTTCTGCTGCAGGTTCTGTAATATTCTCGTTTTATCTCCAGCGTCATTGAACAGAAATGGCTGAAGATGTTACATCAAGCAATTTTAGTGACCAGAAGAAACAAATTAAGTTATGAAAATAACATAAATGACATGTACATGTCAATATAAAAGTTTTCTGTCACTGCTCTTTAATTATGTCATTTTGTTTTACCCCTTTCTAAATCACACAGTGATAACCTTTTTCCAGATGAAGTTTGTGCCCTATTTGGATGGAAACTAATCCTGGCAAGTGTGTGTGTGTGTGTGTGTGTGTGTGTGTGTGTGTGTGTGTGTGTGTGTGTGTGTGTGTGTGTGTGTGTGTGTGTGTGTGTGTCCTAGCGTTAGAAATTATGTGAATCTAAATCTATATAATTATAGATTTCCATGTGAGTTCCCCCCGGAGAGAACGAGAGAAAATGGAGTTTATGAGAAAGAGATGAGAAGCGAAATGAAGAGAAAATCATGTTAGACGAGGGAGAAGGAGCAGACAAAGACGTGTGTGAGAGAGGAGACGGCACTGAGAGAGGAGAGAGGTCCGCTGGGAATCATTTGGGGTGAGAGAACATTTTCCTCTTCTCGGGAATCTGTGTGAAACCAAATTACTGAGGACAACAGAATTACAGACGCAGACATTCAAGGGGGGAAAGAGATGAGAAATGAGCAATAGAGAAGCACAGAGACTGAAATGAAAAAGATATTGTGAGTGTAAATCACTCAGAGGTTTTGATTGTTTCTCCTGCTTCATATTCGGTGCGGTGATAGACAGAAAGAGGATGTGGTCTCCCTGTGGGTCAGTCAGTGGCGTGAATGACACGTTTTGTCCTGCAGCACCTCACGTTGTTACGTTGGTGTGTTTTTTCTAAATTGGGCAACATTCAAGACACAAATGAGCAAATACATACATGTATTTAAGTGCTTAAGTGTTTCAAAAGGTACATTTAACACAACGCATATTTTCCATGTTGTAACTCCATATCTTACCATTCACAGTAAAGAAACACATTTTTAAAATCCACTTTTTAGTCCTTAATTTTTGTGAAAATTACAACAAAAAAAAAAACAGTGCAAGAAAAGCACAAGTTGTTTCCAACATGAATGAATTGAGGAGTAATGACTTTCCGCTGCACTCAGGATATTTCTGCAAAGCTTTTCTCACACTGCAGGTGCTCATGATAACTTGGGTGATGTTTGGGTGACTGCTTACATCTTACATACTCATATCTGAAGCCAGTGTCGCCAGCAAGTCCTCAAGTCCTCTTTTTGAGACCACAACAATGGTCAGGTGAAACCAGTACTTTCACAGGTACTTTGGTGGACCCACCCACAAGAGGTTAAATACCTGGGTCCTTGTCCATTTCTTGGTCAGACTAGTGCGGACTAGAGAGACCAATACATGATGAACTGATGAAGCCGCTTGGATAAGAGGCGAAACGTCTTCCACAGACAAATACAAGTCCAGTTGCCTTCGATTTAATTTAAGAGAGAGACTCCGAATTAAATAAACTGAATAACAAAACATGTTTTTGGTCCATGCACACCAGAACAACACATGTAAGTTATATTATTTTATTATTTTAATTATATTATTATTTTCTGATGTGATTATTATTTGGGTAAGGTTAGGGAAACATTGTGGTTTGGATTAAAATTAATACTACATCCAGGTTAGAGGCGACATCGTGGACACGGTTTTTCAAATTTGTTTTCCTGTTCATCCACCCGACCTCCTCTGTATCACCGTCGCACATGAGTCATAATTACCACAGAGGGCTTTGTCACGTGAACGTAAACCAGCAATATTTAAAAATAATTTCGAACTTGTTTTTCTTTTATTATACTTTTAACCTACAAACCCATGTCCTGTAACTTGTGACTCTACCTCAGGCAAACAGATTCGTGATGCCAGCATTATGAACTTGACTGAATAATGTAGGATTGACTTTCTCCCCTCGTCAGAGATGCACCTCCTGATTTGAATTTATTTGAATCTTAAGCCAGTCACATGAAATGCAGTTTCACAGTATATAGAGAGTGACAGCATCAGAACCTTTTTGGTTGCAGCATGAACAGAGCAAAAGAAAGACAAAGAATAAAAGTGAGTCTCATCCTCTCTGCTCTCTCAGCTGTGTTGTGAACACAGAGAGGCAGATTCAGAGTGACTGGTGCTAAGACAGATAAAGGGGTAGACAGACCAACAGGCGGAGGGTGGACAGGCAGAGCAAACAGACAGATGAGACATTAAACAGAAGTGGAGAGGAACAGGATCGTTCTGTAATCTAATGACGATGACGACTGAGAGAGAGACTGTGTGTGTGTGTTTAGACTCCAGCTCTAATTATCTGTCACACACTGAAATGGAATAAGTCCTCAGGGAGAGAGAGCTGGGAAGACGGGGAGAGAGGAGAAGGAATAAGGAGTGAGTGCGACATGTGCATGTGGGTAAGACAGCAGTTGCATAACAGGACCCCCTGATGCACTGTAAAGATAGATAGATAGATAGATAGATAGATGTCATCAGTCTTGACCACAGGCTTTACAGGCAGGTTTTAGGTGACAAAGCTGCCATAAACCCACACAACGCTTCCTGCCCAGCACCAAAACGCAAACAGACGATATTAATTACTACCTGATGAACATAGTGAAATAAATAGCCGCTAAAAAATAAACAGATACTTCCCTCAGGAGTTGGAAGAGTATTGGAAATCTATCAACACAATTCCAAATCAATGATAATTTTGCCTCATGTCTGCTGTATGTGTAAGCAAGTACATGTTTCCAGTTTTTTGTGCCTCCCACAGAAAAAAATCAATTAATGTAGCTTATTATAAATATTTACTTAGATTTTATGTTTTATCCACCATTTTTAAAAAAAAACATTAACATACAGTAAACATTTAATTAGTAGTTAATGGTCAAGATGAACATGTTCCTCTGTTCTGATCTGAACAGCATATTGAAAGGGTTGTAAATATGAGTAATATTATGTAAACATTATGTATTATGTGAACATACATGGTCGCACACAGTGACACACTGACACACACTCACACGCCTGACATGTTCCATCTCTCTCCGTCACCCTGCAGTGAGCTCCAACCAGAGCCATGGGGAGTACCCAGACTGCCGCAGTGAGAGGGAGTCGGGAGGGGAGGCGTCTCTCCTGGTGTCTCCGCTGGTGGTGGCGGGGATCGTTATAGGTCTGGTCCTCTTCCTCTCCTGCATCACCATCATCGTCGGCAGCCTGCGCAAAGACAGTCGACTCCGAAACCCACACCTCCGAGCTAGCTACGGTCAGTCTGTAACTGCATCTCACTTTCTGACAGATCTGACATGGAGCTTTATTAATAACCCCAACATCTTCCCCCTCCCCATCACCAAGGATTTTTAGCAATTACATTGGGCCACATGCTTGTTTTCTTCTGGTCCAGCATGCGCCCGGTTCCACTGCCCAAATCTGGCCCATAAACAGCTTGATTGTCAGATGCTGTCAGTATGTGGGCCAGACTTGGGACGAGGACCCGGGCATATGTTGGGCCAGAAGTTTAATTTTCTTATCTGGGAAGTTTTGTTTGTGGCCTTCAGTGGAAGTAATCAGAATTCAAAAGATTCATTATCAGAAATTAGAAGTTGTCAGAGACACATGACGTTGTAGAATGAAACTGTAACACTCTCTATGATAATACTTCGATTAAGATTTGATACAAACTTCAAGCTCATTATTATAGGATATTTATTCACTAATGAAATACTCAGGTTATTCTGACTTTCAGTACTCCCACACCTTCCTGCTCCTAACTTTCTTCCAAAGTCTGAAGCAGGTTTTAAGTTTCCCAAGAGAATGTAAATATTTCAAGACACTAAACAAATATTAAACAATAATTGCTGCCAGGACTTTAAATGGACGGAAAGGAAAACAAATTGCCTCATCCATTTCATTGCCCTTTGAAGGCCTGCTGTTATCTCATTTCTTTTTTTTTATCGGTCATCGTATAAGATGCATTGACTGGAGTCTTGTTTGCTCTGAAAACAAATTACATATGAAAGATTTGTACGGGATAAAAAGAAATGCAGTCCATCGCCTCAATTACTGTAATACTACTGGATGCCCCGAGATGATAAGTCCCATTTGAACAGAGCAATAACTTCTCGTCTCTGTCTCTGCAGGACCAGATGGTTTTTCCTATGGAGGTTCAGTGGGAGAACTGAGGTCTACCTGCTTAGAAGACTTTCCTCCTGGTTTAGACTTTGACTCATACAGAGAGACTCTATCGCAGGTCAACAGCCTGTACCCAGACTCGCCTCCACGGTAAGTGCTTTGTGAATCTAAGGTAGCTCAGTATTCAGTGTTCGTGCACAAAATCCAGTTTTTGAGTTCAAGTTTTGACATACATGCATTCAGTTTCTTGTCAAGACTTCTGTGTTAATTACAGGGCTTTTGACGAGCTTGGAGAAGCTTTGGACGGAGCCAAGCTAGCTGTTTCCCCCTTTATCCATTCTTTGTGCTAAGCTAGGTTAGCGGGCTGCTGACAGTAACTTATGTAGCTTACAGACCAGAGGAAGATCTCAGTCTCCTCATCTAACTCTCAGCAAGACTTGTCTTTTCTTTCCTGGTATGTTTATTTATCAAATGTCCGCGACTGACTGAGTGAGTGAGTGATAGAGTTGGGTGAGTGTTACACCAGCCGAGGGTTGGACTTTTCCCATTGGATGTTGCTTTTTCAAACTGATTGGGCGCTAACACTTTCTGCTACGTCATCGGAGCATTAACAGCCGAACCACAACAGCTTTCAGTTGGTTTTTCTGATGACACTTAAGCTAAAAATTAAATGTTGAGCCTTTCTTCATCTAAAAGAGGTTACAGTGTGTTGGTAAAATAAGAAAGCGAACCACTCCTCCTCTTGCCAATTATGTCAAATGTCAAATATAAAATATAACTGACAGTTCAGCCCATGTCCCCCACTGTTCTCTGTTCACTTGGTTTGACCCTCCTTCTGTGGTAATTCATTTATTAGAGAGCACTGCTACCTGTGGTGCCCTTTGTGAAGGTGCAGGAATGAGCGTGCGTGTGCGTGTGTGCGTGCGTGCGTGTGTGTGTGTGTGTGTGTGTGTGTGTGTGTGTGTGTCTGCGTGCGTGTGCGAGAGAGCAAGACAGAATGAGAGAAAGAAAGAGCTTGCTAAAGGCCAATGTCATGGTGTTTTTGAGCTAAATGTCAGCTGGTCTAATTGGCAACTTTAATAATTCACATACATCCCACCCGTGCAGTGTGTGTGTCTGTGTGTGTGTGTGCGTGTGCGTGCGTGCGTGTGTGTGTGCTTTAGTCTTTTCCTTGTTCTGCCTTACACTCACTTTACCCAAATTGATCGATTTGAGGTTTATTAAAATCCCATTCAAAAGCTTTCTTACATCGATATCCTCAATATTTGTCAACGTAAAAACACAGGAGTCTCCTGGATAATCTAACTATGCATTAGGTTCATGTAATGTCAAGAGTTTTGATTGTTTCAATTCAGTTTATGAGACATCATGATTGATTGTCCACCAGTTTGTTATGGCAGATGGCTCTAATTGTTGTGATTCCCATGAGCCTCAGTTTCCATTGCCAAGGAAAAGAAGCTAGTCAGTGGTAGCAAATTTACAATTTCTTCATTGGCACAATTGGTAACCAAACACTGTGCCATAGTTGATGAATTCATCTAACATTGAACCAGAATCTGGAAGTGAATCAGTTTCACCAGCTGAATATTTTATCAGGTTTAGATTTACCTCTGTCCATTGGTGGTGCGTTCACAGAATTTTATGCATGGTTGAAGCTTCTTACCAAGATGCTATAAAGTTAGATTTCCATTGAAATGTTGTGGCTCAAGAAGATGACGTAATTATTTGTGTACCAGTCAAACCTTAAATGATGGGAAACCATGTAGAAAACATGATGGAAATATATGTCAATTGATTATTCAGGTCCAGTTTCAAGCGGCTGACAAATGAAGGCAACACCGAAGTGCCAAAAACTGCAGTTCCTTGAATGGCCACTAGAGGCTGGAAAAGCAGGAAATCACAGCAGAAATGTTTACAGCCTGGTACAAAAAACTGTTTTGGTCTTTATAGCTAATTTCCTCCTTCATGACGACTGTACAAGGGGTGAATTTTTATGTAACACACCCATTTAAATTTTATTAAAGCTTATAGTGCTGCATAATTGAGGGCGTGGTCACTTTGAGTGACAGGTGCGTGAGAGCAAGAGATCGCCACAAACCGGCAAGCACCGAAGTCTCTGCTCCGCACACGCCCCTCCTCTTTGCCCATTTTTGGATTAGCTGGGAGTGAGGCGGAGTCAGGCACTGCCAAGATGGCGACAGCAGAGCAGCTCACTCTGAGCCACAACAAAACCGCTCTTCAGAAGAAACCTGTGGGTGACGTCACGGAGGCTGCGTCCATCTTTATTTACAGTCTGTGGAAGTGCTCCAACTGCCAGTCACCTCAACAGTGTGATCGATTATCTTTTCCATGTTATTACAGCCACACGTAGCTCATGTGCTTCGAGGTCCCATGGGATTCAACGCAGTGTTGGAAATGTTCCATATGGATCTTGATTCATGCTGATATAATAGTCGGCCTATTGCACAGCTCTTGCAGTTTTTTGGCCGAACATTCATCATGTTGAATCCGAGGCTGAGGGTCTGTGCTGGAGGGGTGTGATCTGGGGACTAAACCAAAGCTCCTGTCATGTCCTCGGTGCTATCTCGCAACACAGTTAAAATGAATTATCCTGCTGGAAAAATACATCATCTGGGAAGGGACACACCTGGTCGGCAGCGGGTGTTCGGTTTGCCGTGGTGTTTAAATGATGCTTGGTGCTGCAGGGACTAATGTGGGCCAAGAGGATGTTCCCATCTTCAATCACGGCTACCACCTGACTTCTGATGAATCCATTCAGTGTTCATGAAAAATCCTTAACGTGCTGATTAGCAGGACAGGACAGGCACCATAAACACACTGTTCTCACTGCAGTTGAAGCAGTAGAAACCTGAGAGAGTGTAACAGTAAACAACGTCCCGGCGTCACGACAAGGAAAGAAAAAGGAAATGAAAGCAAAGGACAAGAAGAGAGAAAGGGGAGCTAGCGAGCTACGTCAGCGCTCTGGCAGGTAACCAGAGTGTTCTGGACAGCCTGTGTGAGAACCGGACGACGGGACGGCAGCCAACACACACACACACAGACACACACACTCTGACACACATAGTGTACGTACATACCAATCACATATTCTGTTTACCATTATGCTGGCAAGTTGTTGTTTGGTACACTGTCAGCAAGCAGGTAGTTGCAGTCATGTGATGATCCTGCAGGGAGTGTGTGTGTGTGTGTGTGTGTGTGTGTGTGTGTGTGTGTGTGTGTGTGTGTGTGTGTGTGTGTGTGTGTGTGGGGGCCACAGATGGTTGAGGGAAACTCAGAGAACTCAGATCAACAGCTCACCTACTGAGACTGTGAACGTTGTGCTTCCGACACGAACACACACACACACTCTCTCTCTCTCTCTCTCTCTCTCTCTCTCTCTCTCTCTCTCTCTCCGACACTCACTCACTCACTCACACTCATGGATCAGCAGCTCACCTGTGGAGACTGAAAGCTTCTGCTTCCTCTTGGGGAGAAGCTGGGCAGGCTTTGGCAAACACACATGCACAGTCACACACACACACACACACACACACACACACACACACAAGCGAACACACACACCTTCCCTTCTGATTTGTGTTGCATAAGAATATATGGGAGCAAGTAGAAGCAAACTGTTGCACAGAATTTAGAAAGATGTGTGTTGACTGCTGGTGACAGACTTGTCAATTTCATTAATTGAGATACTCTAAAGCAGCATTAATTAATTGCGTGGCCGCTTTGGGGCAGTACAACAAAATGTAAACACCCAATAAAGTTGTTGTTGTTGGCGAACCTGTGACAGAGCGACATTAACATTTACTCTGAAAATCAGTTCTTGTGCAGTGCAGATGTTACTCAAATACCAGTTGACACAATATTCGTGTTATCGATAGATATTTGTTGACTGAGGAGAGGCCGTCTCCTCCTCGGTTCTTATAGTAATTTGATGCAACACACACCAGCTGTAACTAACACATGATTTCAATCAAAATGTCAAGATGACCCGGCCTGAGTTTCCCTCATCTAAAGACTCATTATTCTTCTCTTTGTGCACAACGTCTCAAACATCCTCCTTAACTCCTCCTATACACACATATCCTGTTGTTCTCAGACACATGTACACAGGAAACACGTTCACCTCCTCCTCCAGGCTAAACTGCTTGATAAGGAGTGTCTTTGTCTTTAACAATTTAACAACATTGTAAGATCATGTGGTTATATATATATGATGCATCTATCTATGAAAATGAATGAGCGCGTAATCATGTTAGAAAATGTCTGTGAGGACTCTCAGTCATCCACGTCATGGTTGAATCGAAAGCAACTGGAGCGAAGTCTCAGCAAGAAAGACGTTCTTCAGTTCTGTGACTGGTGTGGAGACTCAAGTGTTTAACCTCCGTACGGTCGTTACTAAGGTCATAGATGTCACTGGGTTCGTTTGTGCTGCAGGCGTGATAGAAAACACATGATTGTAACAGGAATTTCCCTCAGCAAGAAATCGAGATACCTACATTAACAGCACAGAAGAAGAAGTGCTGCTGTTGTTTGAAAGCTGGATTTGAAATCTATTTTGTCCACGCTAGAGAGGCTGTCTGAGTCCGAACCCTCTGACACAACACATCATTAGGTCTGTGGACAAACCACTACAGGACCGACACGTCCTCACATACAGATGCTTGATCAGGGCCCGTCCGTCGTCACTGGGAACCACTGTAGCGTCACTTCTCAACGTGCGGGGTATTCCCATAGGAGAGCTGTCTCCTAAAATGTTTTGTTTGTTTATTGCACCGTTAGCTTACAGTGAGCTCATGAATGTTTGCGGGGAAACAGCTGACTGCTGCTGGAAGCTGATGAGAGGAGGCAGAATGAACCACAACATCAAAGCTGCAGGTCGTGAGACTTTATGTGAGATTTGATCTGAAATCATTTTTTGCCTTCAGATGTTCATGTGTGTTGATAGACGCACACCACATTGAAACAGTAGACAAGTACGTAGCATTAATACAAAGATTCACGACCTGTTCAGCAGGAACAGACGTGGAGAATAATTTCCTTGTTTCTTGTTGCTGTGTCATGTTGTGTGACACTAATGCTCAGTGTCACTGACAGAGAAAAGGAAAAAGTGTTTTCAGGTCAGGATGTCTCAAGGCAGTTTTGTCAGAGAACAGAGAAAGCTCTGGAGGAAGGATAACACTGGGCAGACAGGATCAGGATTTAACAGCACAAGTGACAGTGAAAATGAAAGACGGAGAAGGTGAGAGCAGTGATGGACGCGCAGCAATTGAATCGCAGGAACAACACTCGAATCTACCATGTTGTCCTGTCATGTTGTAGAGTGAAAGTGATGTTGCCACATGCAGGTTGTGTAAAGATTGAGAGCGGGAAAATGAACACAGATAGATTTACAGCACAGGAACACAGCAACAGGAGACACGTGACCTTTATTTTCTGGAAGCTGCAGCGATGTGATCTGATTAAACCTGTTGAATTTCACCTAAAACTTTCTTTTGAAAGGTTAAATCTGACTGTAGACTTCATGCCGTGAGCTGTTTTATGCTGAGAAATCAAATCAGCTTTGGCACGAGCCACACAGTATATATGTGTGTATATAAATACACACGCACCTGTGAATGCAGGATCTATATGGTTCTCTTACTCCACAGGCAAGTACCTCTCACACTGGTAAAGAGCAAGGACATGCCAACATTACACACACGTAGACCTTCACACACACACACACACACACACACACACACACACACACACCGAGGACCATATGCTGTACGCTGTAGTTAGAGCTGTCCTGTGTCCAGCTCTGTAGAGCGTCACAACCAGCGCATGAACACATGCCAGAGGTCCTCCCTCTCTACTGACCCGTGTGTATCCGACTTCAACCTCCTTCTCTATCATATTAATATCCATTGAGGTTTAGGGTCAGGGAAAGATCGTGGTCATTGTTAAAGGAAGTCAACACGGGATTGTTGGTAAGAAGAGGGATGCAGTTTCTTCAAGTGGTTTTGCAGCACTATATCAATGTCACACCGCTTCCTCTCGTCTTGGTAAAAAGGCTGAAAACTTATATAGAGCTGCAGAGTTGGGCAATAATCTTCTGTGGGATCATCTGAGACCCCTCCCACAATACAATACGCATAGTCATTTGGTTCATTGTTTAAAATAATATTGATTAATAAAGCATATGAAAACAACATGCAGAGTTTCTTATTTCTGGTGGACAAACTGAAGCCTCAGGGTTCACTTCAGCTGACGATGCAGCGAAAAAGCTTTTATTAGTTAGCGCATAGCTAAGTAAGAAATATTGCTAAAAGGAAAATTCAGATCAGATTTTCGATTCACACTGGGACCCACTGAGGCTTCCCTTTGACGACTGTTGACCAGTTTAATTTCTGGAGCACCTCGGATTCACTGTGTGTGTGCACCTGATAATTGTCATTTGCCTTTGGAAATTCTTATTTAAGGTATAGCTGCTTCATCAGCAAGAAGAAATAAATCAATTAAATTTACTCCTCATAGAGAAGTTGGTTGTCAAGCTAACATTTGTCAAGACATAAAAAAATTATGTTTTGGATCTATTGATTCTCCTCGTCATTGCCTGTATAAAAAAAGAGAGTCGAGAGAGAGGGGCGGGTCCAGGGCCGAGACAAAGAGAGGAGGAAAGAAAAAAGAAGAGGGTATAGAAGCAGAGAAGAAGAGAGAGAGAGAGGAGAGACTGCTCACTCGCTCAGTAACCCAACACATTTTTATAACCAGAACAAATATAAGAACTTCACCTTGTTGGAAAAAGGATTTCCAAGGACAGCAGCAGCATGAAACTTGTTATTTTGTTATTTGCTACTGAGTAATAATAACTTCCTTAAAGGACTATCTAATTAAAATTTTATTTAAAGGGTCTTTTATGTGACGTGTCTGGAACTTAAACAGAAACAGGCAGCAGATTCAAACACAGACCGACAGATAAACAGAAGCACTTGCGTAACTCCCGGCCCTAACTCCCAGCGTGTGTCTCAGAGGGGACGAATTATTTTCACTCAGCCACACCTCGCTAACACACACACACACACACACACGTTAGCAGAGCACACAAAAGTGTAAAACACCACATTCATTATCTGGTGTGAGGTTTCTGCAGAAGCACAGACACACGGAGCCGAAAGGCGGCGGGGGAGCGGAGGAGCTCACAACTCCTGAGAGACCAAAGACACAGGGATTTACAGTGTGTTACGACACCTCTGAAACACCCTCGCCCTGCCGCGCACGCCGTTTCCCCGTTTCCAATTTTCACCTCAACACGCCTCATTGGCATGAATGTTTGAGGTCAGTTTTCCCAAAGCAGAAGAAAATAATCAGCACGGAAAAAAAACATGTAGCTGCCCCCAGTCTTTTGATCTGTGTCCGTGTGTGGAGGTGTGTGAGGGTGTCCGGGGGAGAGATTATGTAAAATTCAGACTGCTGCAATCATCATCTCTAAAAAAAAAAAAAAAAATCTTCTCACACAAACAGATCACTGCAGTTTGGAACAAAACAATGAAGTCACAACACGGTAATGACACCGTAAGCCTCAACATTGTACTGGAGATACTGAGTTTAAAAGCGCAGTTAACAGTGTAAACACCTCATGAAAGAAGTCAGTAAATCTGCATTAGTTTTCATTGCCATTAGCTGTGGCTTCAGTCCCCTGTGTGTCCTCATGTCCCCATTGGTTTGTTCACAGCTTGAACTGGGATTTAAATAGGTACCAGTTCTGTGCCGAGGTTTTTTATTTAGAAAATGTTTGTTCTGTCTGGATTGTTTACATAAATGAGTAAGTAGCAATTAACTAATTAACACGTGCAAGACTAAAGAACACTGATTTTCACTGTAGTGATGATTTTGTAAAAGGATCTTAGATTAGATCAGACGTACAGGGTCACATTTGATATAACTATGTAGTGTGTGTGTGTGTGCGTGCGTGTGCGTGTGTGTGTGTGTGTGTGGACATTAGGTCTTTCTGACTGAGCCTCGTCCTCACATTGAGGCTAAAATAGACTCGCCCCGCCCCGTTCTCTCTTGCAAACGCACACATTTAAGAATAAAACTGCAGACACACCCACACTCTAACACTGCTTTAAAATCTCTGATACATACACACACACACACACACACACACTTGCACGGGGAAGTGAAGGAGACAGAGAAAGTAAACATGAATAAAAAGAAAGACAGAAACAGTGGAGAGACACACACACACACACACACACACACACACTTGCAGCACTATGGTACCAGACTGATATAGTTAACCACTGCGCTGATTGAGTTACTCTGATTTACTGCTTCCTATTCCCCACCATCATCTCTACCATTAGCTCCACACACACACACACACACGTGTAGGCACACTGTGATTTTATAATTCTGTTTTCTATTTTGTTTTGTTCTATTTTATGTGTTCTATTCTCTCTCTCTCTCTCTCTCTCGCTCTCCTCTCTGTGGCGGTGGGAGGAGGTCGGTAGAAACCTGACCTCTGGGGCTCCTGTAGGAGTTCATCAGGGAAGTGTGCCAAAACAGCAGGAAGGAGGCTGTGTGTGTGAGCGTGTGTGTGAGTGTGTGTGTGTTGTGAATGAGGCAGCTGCTGCTGGTCGGAATCCATGTTGATGGTGAAACATGCAGCATTTTCGCATCAATTTAAAACATAATTTACATTAAATGTGGCATATTCCTTTAATCACCACGATACTGGACACACCATTAAGAGTGGGTTTAAAATGTATGCAGCAGCATCAGATCTGACAGGACTCACAGGTGTAGAAGAGACGGATAGCAGGAGTTATGGGAAATGTGGTTTGGGTCTGAGGAGCATCATCATGTGAAACTGATGCTACTAACAGGATTTTGTTTTGTTGTGTGTTCACAGGGTCCAATATGTCACAAATGTGTATGTGTGCAAACGAGTGGGTGTGAAAGCAGGTGACGTTTTAAGATGCCGTTGCATAATATTTTTCACTTAATGTCATTTTTCTTCCTTTTTGTGTCCCTGTCAGGGTGGAGACAGATGAAACTGGACAGCTGTCAGCACATCATAAAATTATCTGTGACACAGTATACACACACACACACACACACTCTCTGCCTCTACCACTAAGACTAGAATCAGGTTACATCCCTGTTTATCCAGAATCATATAAAATATTAACCATGTGTGTGAAATTTGGTCATAATTATTGTGTGAAGTCACCGTGACCTTGACCTTCGACCTTTGACCCCCAGAATCTATTCAGTTCATCCTCGATTCTTAGTGAATGTTTGTTCCAAGTTTGAAGAAGTTCCTTCAAGGCGTTTTACCGTGTCCACCGCTCTGACTGACGGTGCTGAGGAGTAAAAGTGGACGTCACTGCCTGAGCTTTAGATGCCTGAAAAAAACAAAAGATAATAAAGATTTTCTCTCAATATTCTGATAAATAACCTGCTGATGTTCTTGTGACATAAAATGCTGCCAACTTCCAAACCACAAAGGAAAGTAAAATAAAATTAATATAATACATTTTCTCTTCATTTTTGTTTTAATCTCCATAGTTACGATGAGTGTGTTGGCCCTGGTTCGACTCAGATCTACATACCTACAGATGACCCACCTCCTTACTCCCTACTGGACCCCTGTCAGAGAGGCCCGGAGCAGGAGGAGCAGCCTAGCTACACCGGTCCGGATCCTTCTCCGTACTGTGGAGAGACCTCGGCCGGCGCCGGCTGGTTCTCCCCCTCCCACTACGCGCTGGGACTGCAGGAGCACGAGCACCAACACATCGCATCCATCTCCTTCCCGCTGGAGGCGGCACCGCCTTACGAGTCAGTGTTGGCCGAGCAGGGACACCCCCTCCCTCTCATGCCATGTGACCTTTATAAACACCAGTCAGAGCGGGGGGACGATGGCGGCTCCCAGCAACCCGGGGCGAGCCAGATCTTGTAGGACAATTAATTTGTTTCTCTCACCTGCGCTGTTGGTTGTCCCCAGTTGAATCACTTCTGATGTGGGGCACAAAATGGCTGTTAGGAGCGGCTGGGACACCAAACAATGGACACTAATGAGATGTACACATCTTCCACACAGTTGCTAAAACCTAATCAGGCTGAACGTCAGCATCTCAGCGGACTGACATGAAGCCGGGACTCCAGCTTTCAACCTACAGTTTGTTTCTGGACGAAATAAAAACTAACGTCTGACTGTGTTGTACCGTAAAGTTTCCGGAAAGACAACTTCTCTAAAAAGGTTTGTCATCCGAGCGACGCTCCGTCGGACAATGACTCCATCTGGTAATAACACTATTGTCTGGTTCAGTTTTACCGCGTCTTGACTGTTAATCTCTTTTTTTCTTGAATTAGGGCGGATCTAAGAGACACGTGTTTGAAGTTAGTTAAAAGACTAACATTGATTCACCACACTGTAGACGACAGGAAGCCGACTTCTTGTGTAGGAGAAAGAGTGTGTGGTTTTTAGTGGGTTTTTTTTTTAGGTATACACAAGCACACAGAGTTCCCCCTCTCCCATTTATTTTGGTCTGATCCTCACCTGTCGGTATGTTTTCATGATGTTCTGGATGAAGTCACACTTAGCTCTGGTGTTGTGTAAGAGAACAGTGTGTCTCAGCAGTGTGTGAGCATTTAGTATCCTAGTGGTAAGAGGAATGACTTTGTAACGAAATAATTGTGGCCATAAAATCCTGGACGGGAACAGTGAATCATCAACAGTCCCCTTCTTTCCAGTCATATATGTTTGTCCCCTTCAGCAATGCACTATGATGAGGAAGTCACCGTGAAATGTTTTGCAACATACTGTACATCTGTCATCACCAGAGAGGGGGTTTCAACCAGTCCGCCGTCGTACACATTGTCGTAACTACTTCTGTCAAGGGCTCTGGTTTTAATATCAGTGCTGTACCTGGACCCCAGCAGCAAAATGTAGCTCGGAGCCCCTCCCCCCTTGACGAAGGTTGGGGGTTGATGCAACAGAGAAGTTACACATGAAACTGTAGAAACTGTCAACACACCGTTCACTGGAGAAACGGATGCTTCTGTCTTTTTTGTCTTTTGGTTCCACCCTTGTGAAAGAATAATCTTGGCCCGAGTTTTCCAAACATCTCCACAGTTATTAACCTGCATAAGCAACAACTGGTTTGTGTTCGATACGTTAATGCAGCAGATGCAGAGATGTGACAGGAATAAGAATCTAGATACTGTTGTTTTCGATATTTACATTTAGTGAAAAATGCCGTTTGCGTTGTCTTAAAGCTCGAGGTGACGTCTTCAAATTGCTGGTTTTTGTCTGATCAACGCCTCAAAACCCAAAGATTTCAGTCTACTTTCAAATTAGTAGAAATGTTATCGACTTAATTTTTGCTCGATCTACTAATTGATTAACTGACCAATCATTCCATGTCTATTGTAAACGGATTGACATCCAAACACAATTTTTTTGGATGTATCGCTCCTGATCAAAAACAAATTAATTGCACTGAAAATTTTATTTTAAGGGGGAAAATTAATTCCTGTAACCACAGACTTTTCTTTACTCTTATTAAGAGGTGTCGGTCGCCTCACCTTAACAACAGCATGACTGTACAAATCGATCTCATGTCTGACACACTGGAGACAAATATAATCCAGGTGCCATGTGTACATTAAAGATGTAACCAGCCGTTCACTGCTGTGGGTGCAGAAGCTGAACACCTCCACCGCGGCCACCCGAGACCCTCGAAGCTCTCCGTTATTTTACATTGTTTAAAATATTCTGACAAAGACAGAAGCAGGAGAGGAATGTGCGAACAAGGTGTGAGGAGGGAAAAACCTGGAGACACTAAGACCTGTAGACAACACATCACCATTCATCACCAGTTATTGAAGTGGGAAGTCATCTGAGGTGAAGCTTTAATAACGATGCAAATGTTGCTTATGATTTTAGAATAACTCGTCCAGGTTGGTTCGTTCTGTGACTTTTGTTCCTTAATGTAGAAAATGGTCCTTATGTGACATTGTCTTTGTGTTAAAAGATGTGCCTATTAAATAAATAGCCCTCAGACTGTTAGTTTGAACATTGTAGCCATAATATAATAATCTCAATGCAATGACTCCAGTGCTCTGCACTGTTAAATGTTTGGTTCTGTCATGAAGTTTTGGTTTCCTGATGTGGTTTGGAAGATCTTCTCACTATTTGAACCCCTGTTAAATAAGTCGTGATGACAGATTTGATTGACACATCTTGTTTGTTCCAGCGATCAGCTTCGTTTATCATTTGATTCAGTTTAGCAGCTGAAGTCGAGTCATCAACTGCCCGAGTCACAACCTTTCGTTTATTGCCCCAGCGTTTGCTTTTAATTGTTTCCATTCAGAGTCATGATGTAGTCAGTTTTAGTACAAATGTTAACAACTCTTTTGATGATATTGTGATGAACCATGAACTCTTTAACCACTTACAGTCTTACTCTCTGTTCTCCCCTCTGTCTGTTTCTCTCTTCTTCCCTCCTCCCTCACTCTTTTCTCCCTGCAGGATTCAGGGAATCTTTAGAAATTACTATTGTAATGCCCACAGCCATTTTCTTTTAAGCACAGTCAGTTCAAAACAAAGACATAACTTCATTTCATCTGCTACTGAAGCGTCGCTCATTTTCACTCTCTGCCACTGTAACTGTTCTACACATAAAGGATTATTTTAGAATTAATTGGCTTGTAAGTAAATTTAGGCTAATTAGTTATGGGTGTAAAATGATATGTATATACAGTATAATAGAATAGCATTTTATCAAACTAGTAGGATTTAACTGGTGATCAGAGAATCTCATGTCTTTAATGGTTCTCATCAAATTACACAAAATATGAAGGACATTAAAAGACCTCACATGTAGTGCACGCAGCTGCATGACAGCAGGCCTAATATAGTCAGAGTACATTTATACAGTACATAGAAATAGCATTATAGCATCGGCCAAGTCCTGCAATAATAATGTCTCCACAAGAGAAAACACAATAAGCGCCAGAATTAGCTTTTTGAATTTGGAAAGTATGACGTAGACAAAGCAATTATTGCTGTATCAATATTCAATTTTACATTAAAACCTGCTCCTGATGGTTTTCAGGTATGACCAGAACCTTGAAACTGTAACAATGCCTTTATGTTATTTTATTTATTTAGTAACTCTACTATATTTGGTGTACTAGTAGTGTTTGGGAAAAACAAAACAAACAAACAAAATTATATATATTTTAGATGTATGAAATGATACACGCCTTCAAAAAAAAAGTTTTGTTTCAGATTTTTTTCTGCCTCATTTCAGATTCAAGAGATACAGTAGTTTGAGTGTGAGAAAAAAGCCATCGCCAGTTAGAGTAAAAATATGAAAAGAAGACGCTTCTGTCTGACACATAAAAGGCCGAGTTTTACAGAGAATCTGAAAAATTAATCAAATGAAATCATGAATACACCTATTCCCAAAACTCCTACACGCTTCCACACTGCTCTCCTTTTAGTCAGTGTTCATCATTAAGTGAAATGAATTCATGTGTCATGTGTATCTCCACAAATTCCCATGTTTGTATGTTGAAAATCTACATCAGAGGATAGATCAAACCAGACTGTCACAAATGTAGTTTTATACACCTTTTTTTTTTTACCCATCGTCCACCAGAGGGTGCTGCAGAACTACAATATATCACTCATCTATTTAACAACACACACAAACACACACACACACACACACACACACACACACACACACACACACACATACACATAAGAGGCTGGATGCTGAATAAAACAGTATGATCCCCTGGGTGTGTTTTGCCATGCTTGTATAAAGTGAGGGGTGTTTTAAGGCTTTATTAGATTAGAGGAAGAGTAAAATGTAAAGATCACCATGTCAGTATTATATTAGAATTTGTTACTTAAAGACATGAGTGTGTCTCCTTTCCTAGTCCAACTAGAGAGAAGTATTTTCCAGCACATGTTCACATATTACTTTCTTTTCAGCTAGGATAGCACTGTTTCGTATAGGTGCATTCTCTGTAAGTAAATGGTGTGTAATTGTCTTACATGTGTATCACTCCCCACATTTCCTCCTTGCTCTTCTTTCTTTGTCTCTCGAGACAACAAACTTCATGTATATATTAGGAACAGTGGTTAATAATGTTTCTTTATGTTCTGTATTAGAGATTTTGGTAAATATTTTCTTCTGTAGAGAAGAGTGAATAAATCTGAGCTCTTATATCAATCAGTGAGTGGCTGATTTTGAACAAACAGGAAACACACACACACACACACACACACACACATACACACACACACACATATAGGTGAAAGGAGAGCTCTGTATGTATCCTGTATCCTATTTTTGTTTTCTTTGTTTTTTCCCATAAATAAGTTACAAAAATCTTCTTTTTTGTGTATGAAGGTATAATCTTTGTTCATGTATAATTTCTATTTCACACGGATCCCGCAGGAGAAGAACAACTGATTTTATGAGGCATATTTTTTTCGCTGGGCAGCTGTAGTTGCAGTCACTAATCCTTTGTTTAGCTGCATTTCCAACACTACACACTAAACTCTAACACTGCAGTGTGTACTGTGATGTTAACAAAGCTTTTATTTGCTCACATGTATCCCTGAAACAACAAGGATAAGCTAAAAAGGGACTCTCAATCCCCAGAGGAAAAAACAAATCCTATAACGTTGTATAGTTCAATCAGTGCACAGGAATGGTTTCATGTGGTTATATTTACTCATGTAGGTAAAAACATACGTTAAACATATGAAGGGGTGAAGGCCAGATTGATATTAGAGCTATAAAGTGAAGTCTGAATGATTCTTGTTTGTGTTTGAAGTCCTGTCAGATACATGACCTGTCAGTCAAGTATCTGACCAGGTGAGGACTGTGGTGTGACTGCATTTCTTCTCAGTGTAAGTACTGATGGCATGTGGGAAATAAAATGCAAATCAGGAAAACTTGTTCTTTTTACTTGAGGGCAGCAATTTATGTGTTTCACTTAGTGCACACTGACTGGTGCTGCCAGATTTCTGCTTCACGAAGCCTAAATTCTTTTGTCTGTGTTCTTTAGTAACGCCTAGTGTTACGTGAAGCTGGAAATGTGTCAGCGAATCACTGGTCTCATGAAGAACTGAACTAAAGCATTACAGCCCCTGATAAGTATAGATCAATGATCAGCCTGTAATTTAAAGGCTGATGTGCGCTGACTACAGCACATATTTGACAACACTGATGTTTCTCATGCTGCTTCCAGCCCCTGCTGACTCACTGCAGTCTATTAGTTTATTAGGATCCTTATTAGCTAACGCCTTGATGTCAGCTACTCTTACAGGGTTGATTTAACGTAACATTTTTTTTAACATCATTACGTCGAGCCATCGAGTTCCTCAGCTCGTCATCCCTAACCCATGGTGCGCCATTTAACCTAGCAGTCCACTTTTTCAATGGGGCATATTTATCTGCAGATCTTGTTCTCGACATATATTCAGCCTCTGCACATGCTTAATCTCTTTTACAAATGTGTTTGCAAAAATGTCATAGTATAGTAAGGCATAAAAATGTCATAGTATAGTAAGGCATAAAAAGTCATAAAAATGTCATAGTATAGTAAGGCATAAAAATTTCATAAAAATGTCATGGTATAGAAAGGCATTTAGTAAGGCATTAAAAGTCATAAAAATGTCATAGTATAGTAAGTCATAAAAAGTCATTAAAACGTCATAGTATAGTAAGGCATAAAAAGTCATAAAAACGTCATAGTACAGTAAGGCATAAAAATGTTATAGTATAGTAAGGCATTAAAAGTCATAAAAATGTCATAGTATAGTAAGGCATTAAAAGTCATAAAAATGTCATAGTATAGTAAG